ATACAAGTGCAAAAGCATTTGATTAATATGTCTGTGCAGTAAGTTTGAAATCAGGAAATCTGATGTTTCTGGGTCGGGTTTATTTTGTTAGTCAAGATTAGTTTTGTTACTTGTGGTCTTTTATATTCCACTAGAATTTCAGAATTTTTTCCTTTTCTTTCTTTTTTTTTTTTTAGATCTTTGGGAAAAATAGAAATTCCAAAGTAGAAGAATTTTATTAGGTATTCCACTGAATATGAAGTTTCTCATAGTAGTATGGCATTGCATGAGATATTTCATTCTAATCAATGAAGATTAAATATTTTTCCATTTACTTGTGAATTCTTTATTTTCTTTTATTTGTTTCTTTTAGAATTTTCAGTATACATCTTTAGCTTTTTATGCTTAGGTTATTTCTATTGTTTACATTGTGACTGTCATTGCTTTCCCTTTTGGAGAGCTTACTTTAGCTGGGTATAGTAAGACACAACTGTAATCAGCAATCACAACGCAGAGGCAGAAGGATCATGAATCCCGGCTTTTCAATGTGCTTGAACAAATCTGTTGCTGAATTTCTCTAATAATATCTTAATTTAGTCACATTATTCTTTTTCTCCAAGGTTTTCTTTTTGTTGAACAAGAAAAATATACTCAGCAAACTACTTTATATTTTCTACATCTGTTTTATCAGTATCGACAGTTACTGTTGATATCGACAGTATAAACAGACAAAAAATACCTGCCGTACTAGTCCAAAGATCACAATTAGCATAGTGAGCCCAGTTCATCCAATATAACCAAGCTCAGACTCTAACTGCTACTAGCTCAGTGGCCACATGAAGGTCACACAGAACTTCCCAATCCCTGACTTACTCACTTCGGTGAGTAAACTGTGATTAAGGCTGTTATAAGAGCTCAAAGATAATATAATATACTGCTCAGTTAAGTATTAGGTAAAACAGTAACTATCCTACTTAAATATAAAACAAATTATTTGGCCAGGCAATGGTGGCACACGCTTTAATCCCAGCACTCAGGAGGCAGACGCAGGCAGATCTCTGTGAGTTCGAGGCCAGCCTGGTCTACAAGAGCTAGTTCCAGGACAGGCTCCAAAGCTACAGAGAAACCCTGTCTTGAAAAACCAAAGAAAGAAAAGAAGGAAGGAAGGAAGGAAGGAAGGAAGGAAGGAAGGAAGGAAGGAAGGAAGGAAGGAAGGAAAGAAGGAAAAAAACAAAAACAAAAAAAGAAAAACAAATTACGTTCTCTGATCTCAACCCATTAACATTCTAGTATGTTTTCCTTGAATAAGAAAAAAAAATCAGATTCAGCTAATCATGAAATACAGGATCTCTTTGAAAGCTTGGTTGAAGGCCAGCTGGATTGGGAGTAATGGAGCATGTGATCAAACTGGAAACTCTGAATGTGGCTGGCAATGAAGGCTGACTGAGAAGCCAAGGACAATGGCACTGGGTTTTGATTCTACTGCGTGGACTGACTTTGAGGGAGCCTGGTTTGTTTGGATGCTTACCTTTATAGACCTGGATGGAGAGGGGAGGACCTTGGACTTCCCACAGGGCAGGGAACCCTCATTGCTCTTAGGACTAGAGAGGAAGGGAGAGGTGGGAAGGAGGAGGGAAAAGGGAGGGGGGGAGGAGGTGGAAATTTCAAATAAATAAATAAATAAAAGAAAGCTTGGTTGATGGCCTTACTTAATGAAAGCACAGTGACTTGAAGGTCCTTAACAAACACCTGTTCTTGAAGTGAAAAAAGGAAGAGCTTTAGGACACAGACAGGGACTCGGAGCACAAGCTCAGCCATGGGACATCTTGCATGAGGACTTCCTGAATAACTTACACTCAGCTCCAAGTCTAGGTGATACGGCCCTAGGAAGGGCTGGCCTATAATTCACAAATGGCCAAATCAAGCATGATATTTTGTTCTTTGGCTAATTATTACAGCCCTGAGATAATAATTTGCATTCAGTGTGCATCATATATGACAAACATACATGACTTCAGTCTTTATAGTCCTAGAAAAGAAGTCATTTTAGAATCAAAAAACCTAAAGTTTTTAGAGATGTTAAGTTACCTATCTCTCAAAAGAATGCTTCTAGCAAATTCTAAAAGGCTAATCAGAAATAAATTTCCTCTTTAATATTGTATTTACAACATCTGGAAATACTATTCCAGCAATGGTGATCAGATAACTTCCTTAAGTTAGGTGAATGGAAGATAGTCAGATTCAAAAGTTACAGCAGAACCCGCAACATGGCTCAGTGGAGGTACCCTTGTCAAGCATGATGTCCTGAGCTCAACTCTTAGGGTCCACATGGTCAGAGGAGAAAAGAAACTCTTACAAGTTCTCCTGTAACATTCCAGACACCATGGCACACACACACACACACACACACACACGCACACGCACACACGAACACAAAAAACTAAATTACATAAGGTATGAAGACCTTCTAAACTATCAAAAAGTCCTTAATGAAATAGCATAATTATTGCATCAGAGAAAGTAGCTCCATGAAAAGTCACTATTGGGATGAAGAACCCACGTATCTGAAAAGTATAATAGTCTGATTTAGCAAAGGGCTGGGAATTGGAATTGGAACATTACTTAAGATGTTCACTTTTTGTTCTGGGGAGGGAGCTACTGAGAATTAAAACACCCTAGATGCTACTCAATTCCTCTACACAGAGTAACATGTAATGGATGTGCTAATTGTGACTGATATTATGGTTTCAGTTTCTTTCCAAAAGCTGTTCCATTGTGTTATTATGCATTGTGTTACTATGCATCAATTCTATCCACATGCATTTTAACATGCCTGGCCCATGGAAGAAAGGCTGAAAAAGTCACAAGTGTAAAGACAGCCCCTGAAAAACAGGTGCTGGTGGCTAGAGAAATAAGAGCTGCAAAACAAAAGGTTTTACAAAACAGGAGTGTCCAATGTCTCTTTAGTATAAAAATGCTACTTCATGACATGGTCGCCACTACAAGTCATGAAGTCATGTCGTTTCCCTGACAGTGCAGTCAGCTTTTTCAAAAAATCAGGTAGCTCCTTGGCTAGCGCAGAGAGAACACACATTTCAGGTCAAAGACGAGGACACGTACAGCTGCTAAGCTGGAAAAGTCCCTAGCATTCCTGTGTTCTGTTTTTGCCTGTTAATGTATTCATGAAACCAATGGCATCATGTAAATTTTTCAAGTGTCTCAGGAGGTCTAGTTATTTAAATTTTGAAAAGGGGCTCATAGGCATGAGATTTCAATGACAGCACTGTCCTTCATTACTGGAATAGACAAACCAGTGGAACAAAAAGTATGCTTAGCTTCACAGTAAGGATCTAACTCCAGACAAAAAAAACAACAATTTCTCTAAGACTGCCCAGCTACGCTAGAAGTGCCTATTCAAAGCAGGATGCCAGTCCAGAGTCATCCTCAGTTACTGTATTCTAAAGCTCTAGAATTTCTATTTGCTTCCTTTCATGGCTTTTATCTTGATTTTGAACTTATTTTTTAAAATATATATATATATATATATATATATATATATATTTATATATATATGGTGCTCTATCTGTATATATGCTTGCAGGCCAGAAGAGGGCATCAGACACCATTACAGATGGTTGTGAGCCCCCATGTGGTTGCTGGGAATTGAACTCAGGACCTGTGGAAGAGCTGCAGTGCTCTTAAACCACTGATCTGTATCTCCAGTCTGTTTTTGAACTTCTTTATTCTTGTGCTTTTGTTTAATTACTTGGGTTCTCTTGTTAACATCTACAGAGATACTATTTTAAATATTTTGTCAAAAACATGTAGATTTCCAATTGTTTGAATCAGCTGCTGGGGTTTTATTATTTTCCTCTGATGCAGTTAAGCTTTCCTCATTTTAAGGTTCCTTTTGTCTCCGTATTGTTATCTGTTCATTTTTTAAAAGTAGTCATTTTGTATAACAGCCTGATTATCTAAGTGCAACAGCCTGGCTGTCTAAGGGTAACAGCCTGGTTGTAATAGGAGAAGACATTACCTGGGGAAGCAGGTTATAAACGCACCAATGGGAATCAAGAAAGTAGAAACATAAATTGAGGCACAAAGTATGGCATACATACACTCTGGGTCTAGAGCTATGCAACAGCACAGCAGTCTGAGGGCTGGAGTGAGTAACATCAAAAGCTACCAGTGTTTACCAGGTACAAAAACTTCTTGGTATTTGAAGTACATGAGCAGGATACTGGCCTCCTCAACAGCACCTCTGTGCTAAGTAGGGCATGTGCCAGGTAAATAAGGGCTGGGGCAGGAAACAGTAGGAGCCAGGGTTAGGGCCAGAGGTACACGCAGCTGTGGAATTTGGCTTGAGTACATATGGGACACTAGGGGACTATTCACATGGATTACAGTGTTGGTGGCATATGTATACCCAGCTTATGCCTCTGTAGTTAAGGGGGATGGCCACAGTCAAACTCACAATAATCCAGAGCAGGGACCAGGAACCCCACAAGCAGATGCACACAGAAAGCCTAATAATTTTAACTTCAAAACTCTCCTAGCAAATAGTTCTGTATTTTGGAAAGGCCTCCCTAAGGAAATCTCCCAATGAAAATGGCAAATGACAAGACAAAGTATACCTGTAAAAACCTTCCAAAATATTCATGTACCAGATAGACAAATACCTTAAAAAAAAAAGCTAACCTTTTGGAAATGGAACTGCCTTAATGTCCTACAGCATCTATTCTTATAACTCCTTTAAGTCTCAGAACAACAACAACAACAAAATCTACTTGAGCTGGGAGATGGTGGGGCACACCTTTAATCCCAGCACTCGGGAGGCAGTGGCAGGCAGATGTCTGTGAGTTTGAGGCCAGCCTGGTCTACAGAGTTAGTTTCAGGACTGCTAGGGTTGTTACACAGAGAAACCCTGTCTTGAAAAACAAAAAACAAAACAAAACAAAAAATCTACTTAAAAACAGACCAACTTATGGTTATCATTTTATTTTTAAAACATAAAAGCTCACCCTTTCTAACAACTTTTGAAGCTTTAGTGTCTTCTCTTCACGTAGCTTTTCCCTTAACTGCTGAGCTTTCATGTGCTTCTCCTCATATTTCTTCTTAGATTCTGCAATAGTCCTATTAATACAGACAAATGAGCAAGAGACACATGTGGTCAATGACAAGACTAAATCAGAGGTTTCAAAAACCCAATGTATACAAGATGCATTTAAGCCTAGTACTTGTCAACTAGATAAATATGGAATGTCCTGATAAAAATGCTGAAAAGACTCATGGAACAATTCAATTCCAGGTAATAATCAATATTTCTTTCTATCAAGCATTTCAAGAGAATTTTCAAACACCAGACCTTTTACGAGATGGTGAAGAAAGTTTTTCATGCATGTGAATTCCATGCCCGGGAAGTCTAGCTGGTTCTTCTTCTACAATATCCCCCCAGGATGTATTTTGACGCCAAGATTCACGAGCTAATGGGGGGGGGGAAGTAAAATAAAATTTGAGAAAAAGTTTCTGTTTAGTCATGTACTTCCTTAAAGCTAACTTTTAAATACACATGTGTGCATATGCACAAATAAGTGGAGATTGTGGGAATTTGGGTGCCATCCTCAGAAACCTTATCTACTTTCTTTGATACAGGATCTCACAATGGCCTAGAGTTTACCAATTAAACAATGCTGCCTGGCCAGCAAGCCCAGAGATATACCTGATTTCACTTCCCCTTGCTGGGTTCATGAACACATATAACCATGCCTGGCATTCTAACCTGGGATTTGAGAACTGACCCCCACTGTACAACCTTGTAAGGCAATAGCTCTATTTACGAGCTGTCTCCACATAAACACGACTTATAAAAGCATTTCTTCCTCAAATTATTTTACCTACAAATTGCATATAAGATGATCTAGTGTATCCCATTATGCCCACAAAACAAATACTCAAAGAAATATACACACAATACCTTCATAATCTGCAAGAACATCATTCCAATCCATAGATATACCACAGAAAGATAGACTCCCACTGCCCATGCTAGCCTAGAATGTAATAAAAATTGAAAAAAATTTTACACATAATATTGTAAACTTAAAAATTAACTACATATGAAATTCTCCTAACAACTTCTAATAAACTTCACTGAACCAACCAAAAAACAAATTATGACTTATACAGTCATAATTACCAAGTTAAAATACTCAGACTATGTATTGTCATTCACAAGCACTTATATTTCAAAACAAGTAAACTAGTCTTACACAAAACATACTCTTGAATTCAAAATTATTTGGTAGTAATTATTAGAAAAAATGAAATATAAAACTTATAGTTGTTTTAGTCAACAAATCTCCTCCATTAACATGTATACCCTGAGTATTTAGCAACAAAGCAATACAACATTTGCTATTAATTAGTAAGATAAAACAAGAATAATACATTCTTCTCTCCCTAGATATTAAAGTCTGAGAAATGTTAGGCTCTTAACTTATGACAGATACAATTTCTTGATTTGTAAAATGAGAAGAAGAACTTTCTACTTATCAATTGTATCATATATGAAAATACTTTCTAACAAACAATGTTAAAAGAAAGATTTGCTGTTGCTTATTATTTAAGCCACCACAATAAATTTTACTATTATTAAAGATTTTAAAACACTAAAAAGCTCACAGAAAAATCACTGTCGTTGTCAGTCTCTATATTAATGTCATTGTTTTCTTCAGCTTCGATTTCTCTAGTTAACTGTTCTTCTTCAGCAATAGCACTGGCAATGGCTTCCTCATTGGCCTTCTCTAGACGATCTGCTAGCTCTTCTTTTTTAGCAAGAACTTCTGCCATGGACTATAACATTTTTAAAAACAAAAAAATTGGACAGAATTCAGAAACATTAATGAATTTTTCTCTCTAATAATAAACTAAATATAGATATGAAAGTATATATACAAAATAAAAATGTTGACTTAGAATCAGAAAACCTGGATCCAATACAAGCTCAAGCACACATTAGCAGTATGACTTACAAGGTGCATAAAGCCAAGGGTTTATTTGTTGCTCCACGAAATGCAACAACAATACATTTCTGACCTTCTTAACCAGGCTTATGAGAGACTGTGAAGTTATGTAAATAACAGATATTATCCAAGGAAAGTAGGAGTTTCATCTGAATGCCCAAATCCAAAACAGCTGCAGATCAAATATTTTCCCTCAAAATGAAACAAGGATAGTGTGCTGTAATAGGAACATAAAAAGAATGCAGGCTATGGAGGTGATTATATATTTTGAATATGTTTTTATAATCTAAAAATAATTATAATTAAACAATGACTGAGAATTATCTGTTAATAAGTACTATGAGTATCTCAGAATTTATATTATAAATCCAAAGGCAAACACTAAAATAATAAAATGAAGATTTATGCTTAAAAAGCCAACAAAAGATATAAAACAGAATTTTAAAAAGCAAAAAATGACGGGGGCAGAAGAAAGGGAGTGAGGGGGAACCGGGGTTGGTATATAAAATGAAAAATAAATTTTTTAAATAAAAAGGCAAAAGATGGAACAATATACACAAGTCAAAGGTAAACAAATACTAAGTTGATAACTGTAAACAAATCACAATACATGTAGTCTAAATATCACCAATTAACCTGTCAAGACTGTGAAACTGAATCAAAAGCAACACTCAACCATGCTCTAATAAGAAATTAAAATAAAGATATAGATTAAAAGTAAATAATAATAATAACAACAACAACAACAAAAAACCTGACAAAGGAAGCAAGAAGGACTAGAAGGAGCTGTTAGGAGTAAAAGTAGGGGAAATGATGTAATTATATTTTAATTTCAGAAAATTTAAAAAATACTGATATAATCACATCAAAGCCAGATTTCAGAGCAAAATCTACCACCAGAACAAAGAAGGTCATTTCATAAAGGGACAATTTCCCATGAATGCGAGCCTCTTAAAGTATAATGAATTTAAGAGAGTTTTAAACTATACGAGGCAAAGCCTAAAGGGAAAAACAAGAGATCTAAGAACAACAACAAAAAACTCAGTAACTTCTTTAGGAAAAACCCTAGCAATTGTCTAGATAATTAAGTATGAAGTTTATATAGCCTATCAGTTTTAAAACTCCTATATAAGTATAGAGGATAAATAAAACCATATAAATATCAAGACCTGTATGCAGATACTTAAGTGGTTACTCAAAATAGCTAATAGTCAAACTATAAAAAACAGCCTAAATGTACAAATGAAAAGTACAGTATTGTATATCCACACAATGAAACATAATTTGGTTATAAAATTTAATACAAACTTAAGATAAGCTAAAGCATGGATATGTTTTTAAAGCACTAGGCACATAAAAGAAAACAATACTGTATTCTATTCCTGAAATGTCCAAAAAAGATAAAGAAACAGACACAGAGAGCAACTTAGCAGGCCAGGGATTGTACTCAGTTTTTCTTTGGAGACACGACATATTGTCATCTACTATAGTAACAGACAAATGAGTCTGTGACTATATTTTAAGAACATTTCATTCTAAGCTTTAAATGGATAAATTATGTTATATAAATTACAACTCAATCAAGTTTCCTAAAAAACATTATAGTTACATTGAAAGATTCAATACCTTTCTATAATGACAGAGCATGAAGGCAGAAAATGAGAAACATTATAGATGACATGAAATATTATCAACAAAGTTGAACTAGATATTTTCCCAGGTGAAATAAAAACATGTTCACACAAAGATGCATGAACAGGACTAAGGATCTGACTCAGCGGCAGAACACTTGCATAGAATACATTTGCTAGAAGGCCCCATTTCATTCCTTAGTACTGTGCCCCCAAAACAGGTATGTACACAAATATTCATATCACTTCTAACCAAAACAAAAACTAGAAGCAGCCTAGATGTCTCTAAACAAATGAAAGAACAAACATGGTGCTTGTGTACAAAAGAAGCCACTGCTGCTGCTGAAAACGCAGTGCACTATCATGAGTGCATACCTCATGGATGAGCCTAGAAACAGCTATTCTGCGAGAGATGCCAAACAAAGAGCACAGTGGTGTGGGAGAATTGTCTGTATTCTGTCAATCATGTATTTTAATAAAACACTGATTGGCCAGGCAGGAAGTATAGGTGGGTCAACCAGACAGGAAGTAGAGGTGGAACAATGAAAATAGGAGAAGGCTAGGGAGGAGGAAGCTCCTTTTGCCACTCCTGCCCAGACCACCAAAGAAGCAACATGTGAGCTGACAGCTGAAAAAGGTACCAAGCCATATGGCTAACATAGATAAGGATAATGGGGTAACATAAGTTATAAGAGCTAATAAGTAGCCTGACTTAATGGGTCAATCAGCTTTATAACTTATAGAGATCTCTGTGTGATTGATTTTCTCTGGGACTTGCCGGCTGTGGGGTAGGGGGCAGGAACAGATACCCCAACAAGCCGGCCCTCATGTTACAGCACAGGCTTAATTTATACAAAAGTCTGAAGACACAAATTTAGACATAGTGAAAGATGGAGAAGAGGTTACAAGGGAAGAGGAAGATGGTAAAAAGCAGGGCTGGAAGGAAGGTTGTGGAGAGGAGTGGGAACTTTGAGCAGCACTCACTGTGTTCAGGATCTCAGGTATAGTGCTGGATTCAAAGGTATAAACACAAGTAAAAGTTCATCACTTTGCATACACTAAATATGTGAAGACTACTAAAAACTAGTTATAACTCAATATATTTATTTCAAACTGCAAAAACTTAAATGTCAGGCTTTAAGTAATATGGAACAGAATCTACCCATCTCTATTAGACTCCCCTTCCTCTTTCACTAAGAGGCTCCCTTCAAAACACACACAGAACAACAGCAAAACAAAACAAAACAAAAACTCACAAAGGAGTTTATGTCCCCAAGGAATAGAATGAGTTAGGAAGTTTAAAACTATTACTGTGCATAAGGCATTCGTCCTAGAAGCCTGAAAGTCCTACAGAAAATAGCTGTTACTAATATCCCACATAGCATAAAAAAATACCTTAATTCCAAATATTAAAGAGTTTGTGTGTGAGTGTGTGTTTGAAAAAGGTAAGTTAGTACATAAATCCACTGTCTCCTCATTGTCTCACTCAATTTTATATTTACTGAAATATATTTATATTTGAAACATAAAAATCTGAAGATTCAAATCTTATACCAGAGCTTATGAATGACACACTGATTCAGTATCCATACACAACTTTGTACCAGGTGGTAAGATTTACTATCATTCTAAGCAATATTTCAAGAAAATTTGAAAATGCAATTCTAAAACGTTAGGATCAATAGAAATTAGACTTATAACAGCATATTATTATTATTATTATTATTATTATTATTATTATTATTATTTTAGCCAAGGTTGGCTTTGTCTTTTCAAATGCTTTTCTCAGTATATCATCATTAGACACAATAATGGACTTTATTATGACATTTTATGCAATATATAATGCATCTTTTCAAGAATATTTTTATTAATTGAGAATTTCATAAAGTATATAAAATTCCCATGGCTACCTTTCATCTCTTCCCACTTCAGTAGGGATTTCTTTCATCTTCTTTTTCTCCTTTTTCCTTTCACATCAAGTTGAGTTTGTGTTGCCCAGCTAGTCTTGGAAATAGGGCCTACCCTATCAAGTGATCAACCTCATTAAAGAAATGTTATCACATAACAAAACAAAGCAAAACAAAACAAAACAAAAAAACCCTGACTCTCCCTCTCCTAGAAGCTACCAAATGCCATAGATCCCGAACTAGTGCTGGAATTTCAAGTCAGCCCCCAACACCCTATGCTGGGACTTTAGACTGACTGGAGCTTGGACAATCTTGTGTATGCTTTCACAACTGTGATGAGTTCAATGCACAGTTGCCTTGCTGTACGTGGAGAATATTGTTTTCTTGATGTTACTGACCACCTCTGGTTCTTACAATCTTCTCACAGGCTGAGGGTCTCTGCAGAAAAGGTTGGCTTTTTTTTAATTTTTATTTTTTTTTAACATTAAGGCTCAAACTCAGGGCCCTACACATGCCAAGCAAGTATGCTACTAGTCAGAAGACTTCCAGTCAATTTTTGGTAATAGTTCTGTTAAGCAGGTGAATAGTAAGTAATTTCGGTCTTGTTTTATTTTAACTACTTCTGTGACAATATCATACTGAGAAACAAAATAAAAATAAGTTTTCTCATCACTGCAAGAATCTGTTTCTGCTCACTTAAGAAATACATGCAACACTACTGAAGCAACCCATGAGAGCCTTCCCACAATTAAATCACAAGATAAACAACTTACTAAGTTTTCTGACTGCAGAGACTAAAAATATAAATATGACAAACTTTAGATTTTAGAATAAGTAATTACTTGCTTGGTCCTATTTATGTGCAACTTTTTAAGTTCATTACTAGAAGACACAAGAAAATTTAAACTAGCATGACCTTGTTAGGAAACAAAATTTATTTTTTGTTATTGCTATCATGTTCATTTCTTTTTTTTTCCACTTAAACGTACCATATCAATTTCCTATTATACTTACTGTGGTTATCTCTTTAAGATACAGAACTTTACCACTTGCAGATATCCTAAGTTATTAAATTTTAAAATGAATTATTATATACAATCACCTTTAAAAAAAATAAAATGAAGGACCCAGGAAATGATTTATTTGGTAAACTACCTGCCACTCAAACATGAGGACCTGAGTTCAGGTGTCCAGCACATATAAAATTCAGGCATAGAAGTACATATCTGTACATACCTGGGAACAGAGGTGTGGGACATGGAAGTGACAAAAACAAGCAGGTCCATGGA